TACTGCCGCAGGAGGAGGCGGAGGCAGGGGAGTGCAGGTGGAGCTCGACGCCAGGGACGCTGGCAAGTGAGACGCCTGGGGAGGCCGCATCTTTTGTTTATGGGATTCTGCGCCGGCCGCTCCTTCCTCTTCCGTGCTTCGAGGCTCCTCCCACTCTGTTGTTCGTCGTTCGAAACAGTACTTGTGCCAGTGAGAAAGGCTGTCCTTTGCTCCATGGTTGTACCTGAAAACACTCGAGTACCTTCCGAAAATTGAAATATGAATTAGCTACTTGTCAAACGACGAATGATATGCATGTGTCTAGAATGATGTTTACATTCTAGTTAAAATCCAGACATGGCCCCCTTTGCAAGCACACTGTCGCGGTTGTCGCCAAACCCTAGTCTTCAGTTTCTCATAATTTCATTCCATTCTCTCTTTTTCGCCTCAGCTACTGTTTTCTTCCAGACCATCTCCTTAATTATTTGTTATCACTTCTTTCACAGTAGATAAAAAAATGTAATATATCTAAATCCTTTGCAAAATATTAAAGTGCTATTCCAAATAAAATTGATATACATATGGTTTTCTTCCTTCCTGTATCAGTATCATCGTTCTATCATTGTTTACTACACTTACTATTATAAGCATATATAAATGTAATGTAATATATATAAAGGCTTTTATAATGAACGTCTAATAATAATAATACTTATAAATAGCATTATTAATTGTAAAAATACATGTTTACAACTAAATTGTGTGTACAAATATTATATTCTTCGCCTCTTTTTTCACCTTCTTCTTCTTCTTTTCTTTCTTCGCATTCTTCTTCTACTTCTTCGCTTTCTTCTTCCCCGCCTTCTTGATTTTCTTCTTTATCTTCTTTTACTTATACCTCGCCATCAGGCAAGATCTAAGAAGTGCCGTCGACATTTTCAGTTTAAATGAAATTTCTCAGAAAACACGTAAAGAATTGATGTTTCCGGGCGTCAAATGCTGAGGTCAGTAGCCTGTTGGTATAGGACATGTTTTATCGCGCGATGTAGGTGATCTCCCCCTACTGGATGGCAGGATCCGGCGCTGACCTAAACGTTGACTTGTGGGTTTTTCCCCAACCAGATATCCTGCACCAGCGGGGCACAGCCCCAGCTGAGACAACTTCTTACCTCCCGATATGTGTGGTTGTGTAGTGCATGTGTGACTACATTTGTGGTTAGTGTGTGCATGTGTAAATGTGGATAGATAAGGGATAAAGATAGGTCAAGGAAGAGGCGGGAAAGATCGCTCGCGGTTCGTGGACGTTTAGTCGAGTACTGCTCCGGCAATCGCTTGGTGTTGTTCGGAGAAAGAACGGAAAACTACCGAATAGAGCAGCGGGCTGCTAGAATTCTCCTTACTACGACTGAATTCGTCACTGCTATCTAGCTAGTGTCGGAAATCCTGCCACCTTCGGGACTCGAACCATATAATCTGCCGATCCGAGGCACTGCAATTGCATCAATTGATCCCCTGAGGTACTTAAGCTGGTGAGAAAACATGTTCGACTAGTGAGGAACGTCCTTACTTTAACTTTCGTGATTTCACGCTTATTTTACTTGCGAAATAACAGCCAGAAAAAAGATAATTGAAGAGTAACGTGTACAGTTTACGTGGTGTTTTTTATAAGACGTAATACGTGCGTTATTTGCACGCTCAGATTCCTGCTTTGCATTTAACATAATAATTGTATTTATGTTTTGTCAAACTAACATGCTAAAGTTGACTTATTTATTTATTTTTTCAACTCTTCAGAACAAGCAGTACTTGACTATATTCTAGTTTAAGACTGAAATGAAGAGGTAGTCACTTAGCCAAGAAATTATTTTCATTGTTCCGACGGGAAACTGCTTCCAGTGCGAAGGTGTGGTCTCCAATGTGCTGTGGAATTCATCAATTACACGTATCTGTGGTGCTTGTTCAAAGACCTACCTTGTTGCTAACTACTCGGGGTCATTCAAGACAAATCGTTTCCCTGGTAAAACCATAACTGTGGTGAATACACTGGCAAAACACCCATGTATCAAAGTCATGTTACAAATAATTAACGCTCTGTTACACATTCAAAAAAGGTGTTTTGTATCTTTTTCAAACATACACGATGTAATATCGATTTCTATGTTTACCGCATCAATAAAATATGTTTAAAATAGTTAATTTTGTGTGCTTTTGTTACAAGATTTTTTTAAAAAATTATGAAAAATAATAAATATAATAATTTTTTATAATTGTTATTATATATATGCAAGTGCCACTAATATTACTACTTATTTTTTTTTAATAGTATTGCTGTTTAGCTATTAAATATTAACTGAATAATAGATACTAAATACTGTCATCAGAACGCAATGTCAGATTTCGCTACTCATATTACTTACAACACACACCAAATCACAAGCTGAAAGACACGCTCATTAAAAGTAAATATGGTGTAATTTAGGTTTCTATTGAAACTTGCGTTTTGGTATTCAAAGAAAGAGTGTGCCTGTCTTTTTGCACCCATGCATGGTGTGATCATATTCAACACTGAATGACAGGTTAAAAAGTGGTTACGGAAAGGTCGTTGTGTTGGAAGTAAAAGAAATGCAAGTCACGTCTGTCCAGTGGTTTAGAAGGTATGAAAATGTTAATTCCGATTGTAAAATTGATACCGACACTAGTAAGTGACTTGAGCCAGTGGACCAATCTGAGAAGAAGAAAACTAGTATTGCGACAACTGCACATACTTTGTAGTATGTATGTATTATAACATTTACGTAATATAGAACTAGATGAACCCGTGCGAAGTTTTTGCGTATTTCAACTCAACCACATATACAGAGTATTCAGAAGCTCTCGATACAAAAGAAAACAATACCCCAAATTGTATGTTAACATTCATGAAGAAATACAGAACATTTTTTTTCGAAAAAAAAGTGTTCAAGAGAATTTAGTTTAAATTTCACTTCGCTGCGCGAAATTCAAACCGGCTACAGCATCACAGCAGGCACCACCAAACTTCATCAAACTTCTGATCCATGTTTGTTGTACACTGTTATGACCATGGTATAGCCGGTCAGATGACCGAGATCGTTACGGCAGTAGTGCCGTAGCGGTCTCAGACCAGGAGACCACGGGTTTGAGTCCCACCTCGGGAATGGCTGTATTTGCGTATGTTTACATGTGTATGCCGGCATTTCATCCCCAACTATCGTCATTACCTCAGCGTCCTTACCCCCGGGGCTTACAACGTTGGGGGATAAAAATCGAGGTTCAGCTAAAATGCTGATCCTCCCCCCCTCCCCCCAGAAAGCTACTTGCCGAATCAGGTTGCACGCAAGGTCCGAGTTGTCACGCGTGGTCCGAGCGACTTAGCAATGAGCGCTTAACATGAACCAAGTCATATGAAAATTAACAAAATTCCTGGAATGCACGAATAAACAATTCCTGGAATGCATTTAACTAAATAACAAAACAATCCATATGTTCTTTTGTGGACTGACCGTAGATCAACGAATGTCTGTCGCTCCGTCTCCCTTTTTGTCGAAGGGAGTGGGGGCTTAAATTCGCGGTGAAATTTGAGGTATATAAAAGGGGATCGCGACTACCTTTAGAATAGTATTTGTAAATATTATTATCTCAATTTTAAATTGATTTATTTCCGAAAAAATAAAAACTGAGAACTATGTGGGAGAAGCATAATCTGTGGATGTGTTTTTGAGCTTTAGAATACCTACCCCTTCCTTTTACTATAGATAGTTGAATGATGAATAAAAGTACCGACAAATGGTGCTTACAAATGTTTGAGAACTATAAATGTTCGTTTGCAAAAAAAATTTAAAAAAACATTTGCATCGTTAAGCGAACTACATATTTGATTTTACTGTATTGCTAACAAAATAGCTATCCACACCCTCGGAACTAGCAGTGCTAAGATGTGCTAATAGTGAGGCTGCATTTTGGTGAAAGTTCGGTTTTCCTTGTCACTAGTATACGTTTTGATCATATTTCTGAAGGCTGTGGGACAGTAAAATGATGAGACACACTTGAACCAACAAGAGACTCCTTTATGTCTGATATGGCTTATCTTGTTACTGCGTAAGTCTTTCAATAGAAGTTAAAAACATTTTACCAATTGTAGTATGAAAGTTGAAGTTCGAAAACTTAAGTTTCAAATCTTCCACAGGATAATGAATGGGGTGCATAGGTTGAAAATATTTTAAATTGACCACGCATGATTTTAAATATATTTGAACTGTTTATTAAATTAGTAGTTATTCATTAATAATTTTATCAACAATAATTATAAGTAAAATAGGTTATTAATATAAATATTTTATAATTTCACCTGTCATTTCTAGGTTGCAGTGACCTTTTTATTGTAACCTAAATTGGGCTATCCGCCCCTTGTGACTTGTTTCTTCCTACGATTGAATGATGAATAAAAGTACCAACAACTCTTGTTGTACACACACGTTATCTGTCTATGTATTTTGATCAGTATAACACAGGTATTTAAACGAATACGCACTGGACCCAACACGAAATTTATGGACTCGCAGTGCTGTCAACTGTTCGGAAGATTCTAAAAAACCTGTTCCACGATTTATGAAATAAACCACGTATGGTTTCTCCTTACTCTTCTTAATCTCCGTATTCATTTTTCCTATTCTTCTTATCCTCATTCTTATTTTATTTCTACATTTTCCTGCTTCTTCTTTTCCTTCTTCTTTGTCTTATTTGTTTATATATTTATTTATTTTCTGGGGCCCTAAAATCTACACTATCTCTCATTTACAACACATGACTGATGAATTATGAACAAAGGTAGCTACTATTCTCATCGGCAACATATTCAAACACAAATGTTTGCTCCCAAGTAAAAGAACCTAT